GGATGCGCGCGGGTTTCAGCTGCGAATGTGTATTAAGTCCTCCGGAGGGTAAAGCCCGGGGCTGATTCCGAAGGAGCAGCGTTTGAAATCGGGTGCGCTTCTGTTCCCGCGGACCGGCTGGGTTTTGAAGCCGCGCCCGGGGGAGCCTGCGCGTGCGGAACGCGCTGGGAGGAGCCCGGCCCAGGAGGAACCCGCGGCGCGCTCCGTGCCCGAGGCCGGCTGGGGATGGGGCGCACCGCGCGCGCTTCTCTGCAGCCTAAGAGCTCGACCTGCTGCCTTTGTCCTAATCGCCCATAATTGCGTGTGTGGCGTGATGATGCTGAGTTCCAGACCGGACATTCGTTTATTTGTCCGGCAGCACTCCTTCCACAAATACTTGTTAGACTCCTGTGCGCCAGGAGCTGCCCTGGGAGCTGGGGACGCAGCAGGAGCAAAGCAGACGAGTCTCTCCCAGAAGGGCCGCGGTCCTAGTAAAGCAAGAGAAAGAGAGGCAACAAGCACAGTAAGTATGTGGCGCATCCGAAGGCCGGACAGGAGCCCGAGAGGGAAATGCCGCGTTACAGAATCGGGCGGAATGAAGTCGAATGATTTGGCCACACAGATCGTTCAAAAGAAAATGGTAATAAATTAATCCTTGCTGAATTTCACGCGTTCTTGACAAACAGTTGCATGACCAAGTCATCTGACGTTATCCACACTAACCCGTGTTTAAGTATTTTAATATTTTGGGTAAGTCACGGTTCACAAATCACCCCTGAGGCCGCTGTAAGCCTGAGGCCCGTCCTCAGCTCTCCAAGCTTGGAAATCTGTGGTACGGGATACACAGACCAGCACGTCTGGGAGACGCATGGTTGGTTGTTGTTTTAATTTCCACTCGAGGGTACTGTCTTTCTGGGCAGGAACCAAACACACTTACGTTTAACTCCTCATGGAAGGCATCAGGTGTAGAAGCCTCGGTTAGCTATAAAGAAATATTCCATATAAAATCCAGGGAGCTTTTTCTTCATTCAAGGGAATTGTGCATGTTTCATCGACCTTTCTCTGTTACTTGCACTCTCCTCCTATGCCAGGCCACTTCATTTCAGATTTCAATATTTCAGATTTCAAGATCTGAACGTGTTTTCTTACCCACACTCGCCCTGCGAGAAGCTCCTGTGCCCTCTGCCAGAGGCTTCTGCTTCCCCCTCCCACGTGGCAAACTCTTCCTTCCAAATGCAGTTCACGGGGCTCCCACCCCACTCTGGGAAGACTCCTCTGAGCCCCACCACCAGCCTGCCCTAACCTGGCAAAAGGTGCTCTCCTTAGCATCCCCATAACACCTTAGGCAAACCCTTACTTTAGCACCATCCACCTACCTGTGTGCATCTAGATATTTGGTTGATTACATGCGTAGTTCTTGCTCTGTGACCTCAAGAGCAGGCAATATTTCTTGCTATCACAACATCTGTAGCACCTAGAATAACACCCTGTACATAGTATAGGTTCAGTAACATGCCCGTTGAAAAGGAACTGAATGAATATTTGAAAAAACAGATGGACAGATGGAGAGACGGATGGATCTAATTGGGGAAATAAGCCTAAGATAAAAAATTACTGAGATACAAGTAGACTCTAAGAAGCACGAAGAGGTAGATTATTTTAAGGGCAATAGGTGTTCTAAATAGTCAGACAACCAAGATGAACCCAAATAAGAAAGAAAAGCGATATAAAAAATAGATATTCGGGATAAGAGGTAAAAGCAACGTTAGCCCATAGCACGTGAAGCTTTAAGTCACAAAAATATCAGCAAGAGCAGAATTACCCGGGATTCTCATATTGACGGTGGAGAATCTTAGCGACCCTTTTGCTGTTTGTATGTATGCACCTACACACCAACAAATAAAAGGCTCTTAGGTTATTTTGGTTGAAGTAAGATAATAGTAGTTGTGGATAAACATTGAAATCAAAGTTAAAACACTGATTTTTACCGAGATGTGACTGATGAACATCAGAAACATTTTGAGCCCAAGGTTTCACAACCAAAGGCCACAAATTAGCTCTGAAAGGTTGAAAACCCAGCCTCCCGAAGTTTGCCTCTTCAGAGTTTTGCTACAGCACAACACCCCTCAGTTGGAAACACCCACATGAAGCTCCCTAATCGTAGTCTTCTCAGAGCAAGATTTTTCTCTGCATCCGTTGCTGGCCAAGGCTTGAGTTTCCCAGTTTCATACAGCAATCCCTTCCATGTTTTGGCAAATTTATTCTCAGGAAGTTAATCTTGATAATTCCAAACCAGCCTGCCTGATACTTGTACCCAATGTTCTATCTAGGGCTACGTCGAATAAGTCAGTTTGTCATTTGAAAACAACTATTTTGTGGTTCTCTCCCAAAATGGCAACAACAAAAAATCTTTGACAATTTTTTTCCGGATTAGTCATCCCCTTCCCCCCCACTTTCTCCAAACTTGGGTAGGATAGGCTGGAGGTCATTTCAGTGGAAGATACTTCTTATAAGGGCTTAAGTGATCATTCAGATTTGATTATAGTCGTTTTGGTTACACGGGGAATTTGAAATCATAACTGCAAAACATTTTTAGTTCAAATACATTTCAAAATATAATTAGAAGGTATTTAAGGAAGAACGTTGAATGGTGAATTTTTCTGTATAAACAAAGAACATTATGTGTTGGCAGCAAACAGGATCATTCACCTATAAAAGATAAATCTTTGCTGTTTAGACCGCTACTTTTCAGAATTTGAAGTGTATCTCCATTACCTGGAGATCTTAAACTGTAGAGTCCCCAGTCAGCAGGTTCAGGGTGAAACCAGGGAGGCTGCATTTCTGATGAGCTCCCAGGTACTGTGGATGCTGCCTGAGGGTGGACCACACTGATTAGAGAGGGTGTCCTATATCTATGTCCTGTATCTCTGCTTGGATAGATAACAGACCTCTGCTTACAGAAAATGACCCAGAGAAATGGTGAGGTGTTCATTTCAAGCAGAGATAACTGAGCCAGGTGCAATCAGCTGTATGTGGTGACCCTGGTGTTGTGGGTTGAGGATATGCTGAAGGATAATCCTCAAAAGGATATGCTGAAGTCCCAACCCCAGTACCTGTGAATGTGGCCTTATTTGGAAATGGGATCTTTGCGGATGTTTTTAAGATATAAATTAAGATGAGGCCGTACCAGAGTAAGTTTGGCCCTTCATTTAATGCAAGTGACATCCTCTTAAGAAGAGTAGAAAAGACACAAAGATAGATGTGCACGTCTCAAAGTGAAGAGACACATGGAGAAGGCCATGTGACAATAGAGGCAGAGAGGTTGGTGTGATGCGTCTACAAGCCAAGGATTACTGGTCGCCACCAGAAGCTACAGAGACGCAGGGAAGGATCCCCTCCCCTAGAGCCTTCAGAGGGAGCATGGCCCCGCCAACCCCTGGAGTTTGGACTTCTGGCCTCCAGCACAGTCAGGGCGTAAGTTATTGTTTGAAGCCACTTGGTTAGTGGTGCTTTATTCCGCAGCCCTGGGAAACTAATACACCTGGTCTCACACAGTGGTGGGAGGGCCCACAGCCACTCCAGGACCTCCCCACGGGGCAGCAGGAAGCTGATGGCGGCCCTCAGGAAAAGCGCCTCGAGGGGAACGGGCGGACAATAGCGTGAAACAAAATGCCCACCTTGTAAGATGCCTGTGTCCGTAAGAAATCAGTTTACATTAGTTTTTAGCAGGGTTACTAAAACAGGCTTAGAGGCCGGTTTGGAAAATAAGATACAGATCAGTGGGTCTCCCCTTTGGCTTCGTGACAGAGTCACCTGGGAGAGGTTTTACAAAGCCTTAGTGCTCGGATCCCGCCCCTCTCCTACATCTGACAGACTGGTCTGGGATGGGGCCCCGGCATCCACAGGCTGAGCACATTCCTCAGGCAATGCCAGTGTCCAGCCAGGGCTGGGACCACTGTTACAGATCCAACCTTCAACAGCAGATGGGCTTAGGAAACATGGCCTGAGAACATTCCTCAATTCCTTATTTAGGGCCTGCCCTGAACCACACTGGGGGGCCAGAGCTGGAAATGCAGAGGTCGAGGTAGCCAGCCACCGGCCCTCACAGAAGTGCCGTCAGTCGGGACCCAGGCCCTGCACACAGCACCTCCCGGCTCATCCTTGACTGCACTGGCCGTTCACATGGGTGCAGCCTGCCCACTTGTTTGCCTTCCCCACGGAGCATAGGTGTGTGCTATGCAGTTGTTGGATGTATCCTGTCCAGTTTTCTGGTTGCTTATCATGAGCGGGTGTACTAGCACCTCAGGGCCACCATAACAAACTGCCACAGGCTGGGTGGCTTCAGGCAACAGGACTTCACTCTCTTGCAGTTCTGATGTCGAGAAGAGTGACATCAGGCATCAGCGGGGTTGGCTTCTTCCAGCAGAGGAACCTGTTCTTCCCCTCTCCCAGCTCTGGTGGTGGCCAGGGATCCTTGGCATTCTTCGGCTTGCAGCAACACAACTCGTCTCTGCGTCTGTTGCCACATGGCCACGTTCTGTCTGTGTCACTTTTCTTATAAGGATACCAGTTTTATATATAAGGACAGCAGGATTCAGAGCCCACACTACTGTATGACCTCATCTTAAGTAACTACATCTGCGATAACCCCACTTTCAAATATGGTCACATTCTGAGGTGCCAGGAAGGGCATGAACTGTAGGGTGACACCATTCAACCCAGTACAGTGGCTTAGTGTGGTCCCAGTGACTCTAAATACCCCCAAACGGAAGTTTCCATTTGAATGGCAAACTCCTTGCCAGAGGCTTGGTTTGCATGTGCTTCTGTGCCTTTTGCCATGCTTTGTACTAGTGCAACTCGCATTCAGAAATGAACTAAAGTCACATGCAAAAAAATAACCAAGGATTCTGGAAGTGCAGATTCCAGGGCCCACCCAGGCCCTGCTGGGGATGCAGACTGGGAACCTGAAATTTCGAGGGCCCCTGGGTTGTTCCAATGGGGTTGGGCCTCATCTCATTGCTGGAGGGTTGACTGTACATGCTTTGCAGTGAGGAGCTGAGTTCAGATTCTCATGGGGTGTATTAATCAGTTCCCCAGGGAAACAGAACCAATGTGTGATCTCCTCAATAAGAGACAGACAGACAGACAGACAGAGAGAGAGAGATGATAGATGATAGGTAGGTAGGTAGGTAGGTAGGTAGATGATAGATTTTAAGGAATCGGCTCATAAGATTATGGAGGCTGACAAGTCCCAAGTCTACAATGTGGGCTGGCAGGCTGGAGACCCAGGAGAGAGCCGATGTTGCAGACGAAGTGCAAAGGTTGTCTGCCAGCAGACTTCTCTCTCGCTCAGCGGAGGCCAGGTTTTTGTTCTGTGCAGGCCTTCAGCTGATTGTATGAGGCCCAACCGCATTATGGAGAGCAATCTGCTGTACTCAAAGTCCACAAAGTTTAATGTTAATCTCATCCCAAAATACCCTCACAAAAATATCCAGAATAATGTTTGACTCCGTATCAGGGCGC